CCAGTTAGAAAGACTTATCAAAAGTAGTGAGTAGATTTATCAAAATTAGTTTATAATATCATCGAGTGAATTTGTTTATTTTCATCGTTTTTTTCCCTAATGATTTCAAATATGTGAAGAGCAAAATGATAAAGGGAACTATGTGTATCAAATATGTGACTTACACAGACTCTTACTTCCTAAATTCAATGAATCTTTTAGTTTAGTAGTGTTATTTTAAAACTGTCAACATTTCTACTTCCCATAAGTGTCCCGAATTATCTACACATATAATCTAACAGTTACTTGGATATATCTCTCAAACTCCCTCCCCACTGATTAACATCGATTTGACTATTGATATTTTAGAACTGATAAACTTGTAATACAAATAACAATAATCTTGCAACATTTCCTACTTTATTACTTTGTAATGACGGTTAATAGACTGTTTATACCCAATGCATTGATGGGAGTGTTCTTTAAGAGTATAAACGATGATTATTTTAAGTTATATTGAGATCGGTAATCATTTTGTGGAGTCAGTGACTGATTCGTTGTCAGTATGAGGGGTTTGTGAGGATTACTGAATTTTATTCGACCACCAATCGTCCTTAGTTATAAAACCATTGGAAATCAGGATGCACCTGACAGCTGTTTCATACTAGTATTGAACTCTCAGTAGTTACTGTCTAGACTACTCAAGAGGTAAGGATTTGTTTTTGTCGATATAGGCAATTTGAAATATGAATGTAGTCACGCAACACAGTGAATGTATCAAGCATAAGTAAAGTAAAACACGAATTTTCAGCGAAGGGACCTCTTTTCAACGAATTTATTATCAAGCTGTACAATCGTTCACTTTTCCTCACGGAATTAGTACTTTTACAAAAACAAAAATTTTCATATATATACGATTGTACAGCTTGATAATAAATTCGTTGAAAAGAGATCCCTTCGCTAAAAATTCGTGTTTTAATAAGTAAAGTAGACGGTTGAATATATAAATATACACGTTGTAAGAAAGATAATGGATTTTATTAGGATGAGTTATGTTTACTGAAAATCAGTCTTTGTGACACCCAATTTAATCGTTAGTAATTTAGAGTAGGCCTACGCCGTAATTCTGACAAATGACCTTGACCCTTAACCTTCACCCCATACGCCAAACCTTTAAATTTGGTCTTTAACTCATAGCCTTCAAGATTACCTCGAAAATCCTAACATTTAAACATGCAGTCTACTTTTCGTCCCCTGACTTCTGATTGGTCAGTTTAAGGTCTTTTAAAAATCAACCTACCTATCTTCAAACTGCTGCCCAACCTAATCATTTATTCATAAAAATTGAATTATAAGATAAACTCTGATCCTTAGAATGTACATCTCACACTTTCTATCATACTAACTTTATGGTTTAGTGACTTATATTCTGACATTTCCGATAGTCATAGATTTAATTTGTGTCCATACGTTATAAAGACTTAGGAGATTATGGCATTCATTGCGATCAGTCATGTGGTATCAAGTGATTAATTCCAATCCAACAACAATGTGATTTTTACCAAACAAAAGAAGGATGATTTACTCATTGTCATTCAGCAATAAGGTAGTACAAACTCACTAGAAATATGAATGCATCAAAGCCTAAAGTTATTATTACTTTCCGGATCGTTAATCCTTAAAAGAACACACGTTTGTTTACTTTAATCTGGGATGTTCATGAAGCTATGTCGGCTTTAATTTGACATTTGAAATGGTATTTAATTGAGTTCAACTTTCAGTACGAAAACCGGCATTATGATTCATGTACATTAGGCTGACGAGTTCGAAATAGAAGAGAATACCTGTCCTATATTCCACTACTAACCACAAACCAGGTATGCAGAAAATTGTTATTTTTCTACCGAAACAAGTAATAAAACATGCAAACCATCATTTAAGAATGATGCTTACTTCAGGATGAAGCTATTTAATGATTATTAATGACAAGAAAATTGCTGTTTAATGAAATTCAGAGAAGTTAACTATTGTTCAAAACTGTGAATATGAATGCATACATACTAAGATGTTTTGTATAGTTTGGAGATGGTTTTTGTCAGGAAAGTGCACAAGTTGACTTCGGGGATGTGAAACTGTGAATCGCAGCCCAGAGATCCAAAGTCTTCTTACTCTTTATGGAACAGAAGTTTAAGGGCACTGTCTCATTTGTGAGTTGATTGGAGTGTCCAGTTCGCCGTGCTTTTCAATGGTTTCTTCTCTTTTATCTATTCACAATCAATATACACAAAATTAAACTCAGAACCCTTAGGTCCCATGACTAGTACGTTAGTTTTAGATCACTAATTTGAAATTCAATGGTTCAAACGAATAGTTATCCCCAGTTTTAAACGTAGCATAATCCATGTACGAATTTTGTCCTAATGACAAAAAGGGGATAATCCGAAGCTTTAAAGTCCTTATGCTTTTGACAAATTTAGGAGAGAGAAATTTATTGTTGTATTCTAAGAAGTTTGTGTTAAGGAAAGAAGATATTAATGAGATAAAGAAAACCATTTTCTCTTTCGTCTTCAATAGTTTATTTTGCAAAGAAAATATTAATACGGTCAGATACCGATTTCGTTCATATCGAAAAGATTTCATGATATTTTTGCTTAGAAAAGGTAATAGTTATTATGCTCAGTGATCTAGAGGTTAAGCGTTCTCGCACAAGACCGAAGGTCCTGGGTTCTAATCCCGAAAGTGGGATCGTGGATGTGCACTTCTAAGGAGTCCTATACTAGGACGAAACGGCTGTCCAGTGCTTCCAAGTTTCTCAAGGTTATCTAACTTTAATCGACTCATGAATTAACTATTAAATTACTGCAATCTCCACAAAACTCCTTTCTGATAGTTTATTTGTTTCTATAAAATTAAGTCCCTTATTCTGAACAAATTAACTTTGACATGTACTGTAGGCTGTTTTGAATGTTATCATCAGTTTATAAATATATTGTCAACTTGGTCAACTCTGCAAATCGCAACGTCCTAATAGAATTTCGTAAAACGTGCTAAGGTGTCAGTGATTAGTGAATGAACACATTCTTATTATTTACTAAAGAGGTATTACGTAGCGATTTTTTAATAAATTGAACATATATTAGTCTTAACTTATTTGGTGAACTGAATGCAACAAATAATGTTAATTATTAGGCCGCGTCCCAATAAATCAGTAATACCATGATCATTAAGTTGAGAATGTAGTTTTGAAAATTCACTTGATTCGTCTGCCTAATGAGTTTGCAATGAAATAGTGGCTTATTGAACTTTCACAAAACACTAATTGGACGTGAGCAAACACAAAGTGACTTCCCAAACTAATACATTACATAAGGTAGAACCCATTCATATTCAAAAAGGATGCAATGATGTATAATAATGACTAACTAATCACAGCAAATTCATATAATAACAGGAAAGAGTTTAAAACTTCTCAATATCTCAGTCTCTGCTGTTTAGAAATACAGAAACGCAAAATCAGAAGATGGAATAATGTAGTGAGGAAGATTCTAAATAGCCTAGCATATTAATATTTTTGTTTGGCAAGTGAGCTCAACAGATTTTTAGGAGAGGTGATGTGGTTAGTTATAGGTAAGCATTATAGTCCTTAATCTCGTTGGCTGACAAATGACCTACAAAATAACAATTTAGTAATCGTTTTCAGCTCGAATGAATTCCAATAATATTTACTTTAGGTCGAGTATTTTCCAATTTATGTACATTTTTGCTACATAAAACGACTAACATTTTGCTGACAAGTTATTTTTTTTCTTGACATTCATTCCGTGTAGACAATAGGTTGATAACTCTGGCTTTGTTAGCACTCATCATTCGATCATAATCAATTCTATATTGTACCAAAATATAATATTGAATAAAGCCATTAATAATAATAATAATAATAATAATAATAATAAAAAATTCAGACAATCGATTGTAATCCATTCGCAATATCCATTAGATCAAGTCCAAAAATAAATTGTAGACAACTATGTCAATGCTCTTAGGATTTTCAATAGTTCACGATGAGAATTTTATTCAATAAATTTCTAAATGGAAGATGGTTGCGCACTGTTGTGAACTAATTGGAGTTAAACAATAACACCGTTGGGTTCCGACTTAGTGGTCTAGATGTTAAGCATTTGCATGAGACCGAAGGTCCTGTGTTCCAGGTTGCGGATGGGCAATACTGAGGAGCCTCATACGGGGATGAAACAACTGTCCAGTACTTCCAGGTTTTCAATGGTGGTCTAACACTAATCAGTTCATGATTTTGATGAAATTCAATAATCTCTACAACCCCAAACTGAAAATTTCTGAATAATGAACAGAAACAAAAAAAGATATGATTTAAACTTTCATTCAAAACCGTAATCATTATTTTGATCGCTTTTACTTAACTCTCATTGTTAATCTCTCATCCTTGATTTCCTGTTATCCAATTAATCATTTTTGGTTTTGACATAATTGTTTGAATTTTCATTTTTTAATCGCAGAAAATTTAGGTAGTTTGTGCGAAAAATTATAAAGTTACTTACATGTGATTCTTTTTTTTCTCAATCTACATTGAATTCAGATGAAGTTGCACTAATTATGTGTGTTTATCGGTGCTTGATAAACTTAGTTTGTATTTATTTATGTGAACAATGAATCTATATTATCATATCGACTCTACGTATATAATAGTGTATGGAATGATTAGATAGACTTGTGCCATAGAAGAATACTTATGGTGATATTTTCAACTCTGAGTTAAATGGTTTATTTATGGAATATTTTTGATGTTCTGGACAAAATTTTTAACATATAGGAAACAATGTAAGCTTCTAAATTCAAGGATCCTATTCAGAGAACATAACTTCATCCAAATTAGTTTAGAGAAAGAAACAAGCAGCTTGTCACTTCAATTTTTATATCACTTGGATTTAAATATATCACAGTCAATGACTCACACAATTTTAACGTTGTTTCAAATGCCAGAATCACGTCAACACAAGTAGAGGGTATTTTAGTGCAACCAAATATATCGAGATACAAAGAAATTAAAGGTTCTAACATATATTAAAATGTTCAATATAAAAAAGATAATCATTTTAAACCAGTAGCCCATTAGATAATGGTACAAGCTTTTATTTTAGTTGGAACACCAAAACGAGGATAAAAATGCCACCAACTGATGAGTTCTAAATTTTAAATGGATTCATTCAGAAAGCTTCGTGTATGTGAATATATCTTGAGTGGTCAGATATCATCACTGGTGTTCATTTGACCTAACATCTATTTTGCTATGCATTTTCAATATATATAGTGTTTATATGAACCAAGAAACGTAATACACATTTCACAGCTCTGAACAGTCATTTCGTCATATTTTATGAAACGTTATCACTACTTCTCTTTAACACTTATCGGCATAATACTCACTGTACTTCATAGAGACTATAACAGTAATGATTCCACTGAACTTTATAACTTAACATATAATGATAATGATAAGAACTAAGTATTCAAGAAAAATTAAAATATCATTCATTGCAGTAGAAGACATTTGTTTTTCTTTACTGTGATTGATATTCAATTGAAAAAAAAGTTTATAATATTACATTAATAAATATTATCTTTCTTACTTTGACCCAATAAAAAGGTCAATAAAAGCACAAGCAATAAATTCAAAATAAAAAGGATCACAAACTCACACACAAAAACAAATGTTTGACTAGCGGAAGTATTGTAATGTTTGAAATTATCTTTATCATACCATCACAGTTATCAAACCACTATTACAATGATAATAACATTATAAAGAGAAAAATAGTAGGAAAACACAATCATAGAAATATGACGGTGACAATAAACATAAATCAAATATAAATGAATATGATAATGAAAGGATATTGTTTTAATAAATAGGATAATTGATGTTTCTTATTTATTATTCACTCTCATTATTGTTTTCTCTTCCCCTCTTTTTGTTTCCGGATAATTAGGAAATGCCTTGATAACAAACAATAGTGAAAGTTGAATTTAAGAAGTTAAGCATTACATGTCAACAGATCAACTTTTCTTCATGTCAATCCACAAAAATGATCTGATATAAATTGCATAGAGAAATTATTTGCTGCGTTCATGTGTGATTAAGTGAAAAGATACCATAAAGGGTAAATATCTAGGTAAATGTTTAAGCAACTTCGGAATCAATCAGAGATAATTTAATTTCGGAGTGAAATGTAGGTTATTGAAAATAAGCAAATAAAAATTAAAAGAGCAGACACTACTTATAAACGATATAAGTACTATAAATATAATCAATAAAATGAATGAAGAACAGTTGGGATCGTTAATAAACTAGTGAATAAATAAAAGGAAAGCAGCTACCAAAAAGAGAAAATCAGCTTACAATAAATAAATACATAAATGTATATTAATGAGGAAAACCACAAAACATAATCATGTATATTAACTTTCTGTGTATTTTTATGATTGTACTGAAAATATTGAAAGTTTTATTCTCATTCTTACTGATATCATTTAGACTTTTTACTATTGTCATTGTGATTTTGTGCTTACTTGCTTGTGTGTTCACTTCATTATCTTGCACATTCAGGACAAACAACCCCATCATCCGAAACAAGGAATCCTTTGCCTACCAGACTATTTTGACATTTACTGCAATTGAAACAATCAGAATGCCAATGTTTTTCTTCAAATGTTACAAATTTGCAGCCGCCGAAACCTGGATTTTATTCATTTGTTTTAAAATGAGGTGTATGTTTCCCATGACAGAAGATATTTTTCGAGGAAAAAAACAGAAGCAAATAAAATAATCCAAATATTATGGAGAAGTCATGAAATCTTTAATATATATAGTATAAAGAGATATCTATAATTACTTTGAAAGTTCTCTAAGACTCCAGCAAAATTTCTAAAATTGTTTATTAGAAACCTTTTAAGAAAGCTGTAAATCTGTACATTATGCTCTTCTCTACCCTAATTAATAAAGTGCCGAATATTCCATTGATTTTCGTATCTTTTTTTACAGGTCTCTTTAGTCCCGTGGTCACCACTCAAGAATTGAAGTTTGTGAAAATCCAGAAATCATCTACTGATTCAGTAACGCAAATGTACTAAATGTTTAAAATAAATGAAAAACTATTAATGGATTTACTTTGACAGAAAACAGTGCATGGTTAATTATGTATGACTGTGTTTAAACGTAGTTGTAAATAACCATAGGAATATTGTGGGTTAGCTAGTTTTTAAGGAATGAATACTTGATTATCCACATATTCTCGAACTGTAGGTGCTAAAGTTTTCTAATCCATTCACATCTATCAGGTTTCAATCAGTGAAAAAATTGCAAATCTATTACTAAACTATGTAGTTCCGTAAATTAAAAAAATGTATGTATTTTACGTATACTGAGATTATTTCCAAGTGTAAATTAAAGACTGGTACCTTTTATTGTTTATCAACATATGAATGAATTTATCTCACCAGAAAGAAATTTTTAAAAAAATCAAGTAAATAAAATAAGATTAATGAGTTTTTGCCAATCCTTTCAAACGTCTCATCTCATACTACATTTGGTTCATGAAGTTCAACGAAATATAACTATAAAATTTTTACCCACCATGCTGCCACCGAAAAAATAACTTACCACTAATTGGTTTTGTACACTTTGCACAATGTTTTGCAAATAATTGTGTATAACAATCTGCACAATAAGGTTTCTCATCACGTGATGTAAACTTTTGACCAGCTAATTCACAACTGCAATTTGTGCATAAGAAACACGTTTTATGCCATGGTTGACCTTTATAAGTTACCCCACCTTTTTGAATGGCCTATTATGTCGGGAATGAAAAAAAAATAAGTCGACAAAAAATTACTCCTATTAGTTCAGTTTAATTATTCATAGAAAAAGTGTTGTCATACAAAATGGTAGGAAAGCTGTCTTATCATAGATAGTTTCAGTGTTACAACGAAAATAATAACACCCTATGAATGTAGAGCTGGACGAATACTTTAAAATGGTATTTAGTCAAAAAAATTCAATCTTTGTTGAAATAATCTTTTGAAAAAATATACACAGCTTGGAAGAGTTATAAGCACGTATGATTAGCATGTGTGAACGTGCTCAGTGCACAGTTTGAAATGTCACTGAATCGTTATAAACTAACACAATAATATAAGTCAAACTAAATAACTATTAACAATTATACAAAAGATCAAATGACAAAATGGACTAGGACTCAATAAACAAGTCTACCTACTAAAAATACCTCAGTGTAAAGAAAATAGTAGACATGATTATGAACATAAAAGGATTTATGGGTCATGTGAAAGTTAGTTCCATAGCTGCTTAATTGTACCTTCTTTTCATGATATATTCTTAATTTCCTTTACTTAATTTCTTATTGTTTAAGAAAAGAGATAGTAAGATTATGAAAATATAAACCAGATTTTGAAAGTTGATCATCAGAACCATACTCAAAATCTCAATCTAAGGGTCATTTATTTGTTTATTTTCAATTAATGGTAATTTTGTGCGTCTTTAAAATAGGATACGTCAAAATCTTACTACTGAAAAATATTTGTATGATGTTATCAATGTAAACATATCGCTTATCACATGTGTCATTCCTTTGAGTTAACATTTTCATGATAATTCAATTCAACTTATAGAAATAAAGGAAAAAAGAACTATTCCACGCTGAAAAATACTTCACAAACATCACGCGCACTAAGTTGTTAGTAGACTCAACTCCTATTTTATAATGACAATTATTATTACCAATACACAGCAATCATGTTTTCATCAATATATCAGTTAAGAAACTGTCTTGCATTACGTTTATTGTTATATAATTGGTGCTTACTTGAATACACTTTGCTTAACTGCACTCTAATGTCTTTTTTGAAAGGTCCCATCAGAATGAAATAAATAAATGTTGAAATACATTTGATCATAGATCAATGTTAGCCGAAGAACCATCAATAAAAAAGGTTACAACTGAACAGCTGTTTAGTCTTAGTCTACAATCATCCAGTAGTGCATATTTATGACAGTGCAAAGAGTATAACCAGGGAAATTTAGGCTTTGTAGTGAAGATGTTACTTTTAGATTACTAAGTAGGAATTCACTGGTTCATGTTCCCAACTATTAATTTCTGAAATAATATGACAATCAAAAAATGTTATGAAAGATACTTATTTAACTTTCAGTATGACTGAACTCTATGAGTTGCGGATTCTCGCTAGAATTTTGAAGATTTAGGTCAAACTTATTTACTAAGGCTTACACAACTGTTATTCGGTTTGTCGGTTTATTTTGGAGATTAGTCCAATCATCAGACAGCCTTCCGGATGAAGTTAGTTCATGTGGAAAACCATCTTAACTTTGAAATCGCCACTGCAATCAATCAATTAATATATATAATGTTACTCCATATTACTTCAATTGCTATCAAATGAATTGATCAGATAATATTTATTCTGATTCAGATACAATTTAATACACTTAAATAAATGAAATTTTTTATTTATTTAGAGAGAAAGAATTTATCTGAAGGTTGTCTGCTGTAATAGATAAATATCTTCTTAAGAATTATGTGCGTCAGTGTAATGTAGTTAGAAAATGAATTACTATATTTACTCATTAAAATTATTCAGATATTTGATAACCACCATTTCGATAAGTCTAAATCAGTATTTCCTAACTGAAGGTTGTTAAACTCGATCCAAATCAACTGGCCCAATTCAAAAGTACTTTATACATCGGCTAATGAATTCAAATCCAGAAGAATAAATCAATTATTTAGTTTTCATATCACTAGGATTTGATTAGTGAAAATCTATGACTATCATGAACGACGGTTGTATCCTATACTATTTAGTTCATACATCATTGTTTAATCATTAAAACCTTTTTGACTTATTTTTTTGACATTATTCTAATTTAAACGATTTATGGTAATAGTAACAAATCTTAATACTTGTGTTTTATATTGGAGAGTTGGTTAGATAAAACAAAAAATAATTGTTAAATTCACTTGGTGTTGTTTTACTTGTATCGTCCCATTGTTATTTAGGACTGCAATTGATCAGTCTCATGTTGACATATATATGCATCCTGTGTGGATTGCCTCAATATAGCCTTAAGTCACAAGCTTTTTAATTATTTTATCTTAAATGAAATTAATCATAAAACCTATTACGAATGAATTCAAACAATAAGATTCGATTTGTTTATTATTTTCGTTTTTATTTCACCAGGCAATAATCTATATACAAAATTTTTACTTTGCTGTACTATCCAAATATCTACCGACCAAATTGATTTCATCTAAAGGTACAACTTGGAGATATTTTTTTATTCAACAACCATAAGATAAATGTTAAACGAATAATTCATGTTCATTGATCAAAGCAAAGAATTCAAGCTTATTTTTAAGGAAAAAAAAATATTAAAAACAAGAAGACTTGATTAGTGATAACTTTTTTGTAATGATCTATGGCATAGGCTTTTAGCCAAACACATATGTGCATGTATTTGAATGAAATATTGTTTAGTATGTTCGGATTTCCTTCGGTATATAATCCTACTTTTAGGACATTTATTGTTCACAATTAAATGTACTGAAACTATTAATCATAGTTTTAAATTCTTCAGTCTAACACAGTCAGATTTATGATATTATTATAGTGCATAATTTTACAGCTAAGATTTAGTTTGGGGTGATTGTTTTTAGTTGTTCCCAGTGATCACTTAGTATAATTTGTTCGATTCTACAAGGGATCAATGGTTAGATTAAGTATGAGTGATACAGGATAGAGCTCTGAAGTAGAACTTTGCCTTGGTGATAGGTATCGACAAGTACGAAACAAGATCAAATAAAATTCCTGTCATTATATGAAATCTGCTAATACTCTAATCCAATATTCAGTCATCTAGGTCAGTAAACACATTAGGATCTTTATCAATAGATCCTAGTATACTTTGATGATCGAATGGAATTATATTGGTTCCTATTCACTGACCGATGGATAACGCTTCTTATGGTTGAGACTCATGAGTTGACAATCATGCAATCAAAATAAACAACTGGTATGGAATTAAGTAGTTGGGGTAGGTTTACTAATTCTTGAAGCTGAATGTGCTTTTTTCACCAGAAGAAGGCGTTTAGGTTTTGAATTTTTGTTTTGGTTATTATTACAATTATTATGTTACTGATGACAATTTCTTGAAGTGAATTATGTACATTAGATGTCAATTAGATGAATAAAAATGTTATACTATGTTTATGCTAATATAAACCCATCAATAAAACCTCATTGTAGAGTGTTTCAATATATCTAATTCACTTTGTCTCCTCTTTCACAAAAACTATTTTCGTGCAATTTACAAATAAGAGATTAATGAGTTATACAGAGCGATGACTTGGCTTGAATCTACTATTCTAAAATGCTTATCCCAAGCTCATGAAGTCATAAATTTTTATTGAGAACTCAAATCATACTCTGATGAATGCTCTATAGTGGTGTATGCATATATGTTATAGAAAGAGAGATTACTTCACGGTACAAGTCAATTAGTGATAAAATTATTGGTAGGTTGAGAACTAAAACTATTGCTATTCACTAAAATATATGATTTATATCTGATAAATAATCAGTTGTAAGTAATTATTAGATTGAAACGATTGTTCATTACCCATAAGTTTTAACTTGTGTTTCGGTGAACACCAACTTGTATGTGGAAACAGCTGAACGGAGTTCTTGATCTAATATATCAGAATCCCTTATGATTTTCGCTAACATTCGATTACTGATAAAGTGAACTGAATTAGTTATTCAACTGAATGACTACCTAAATCTTTACTAGTACAGTAGAAACAAGCAGAAATACCATAAAATTAGAAGAACTACCTTGCATACCACAAGCGACTAATCTGAAACGTTTTAGTAGTTTCACTGAAACCGAAAATATTTATTGCTTAAGACAACAATCTATTAGTTGTGGTAACACATTTTACAAAAACCATACTTACCACAGAGAAATCAATTGACTTAAACTTTGATTTATTAAGTAGAACAAGAGAGTAAATTAATTTCACTGACCTTATTACATTTACAGCATTTTTGTGAATATTTCTCTTCATAACATGGTACACATACTACACCATCATCTTTTGGTACGAAACTTTTAGCTCCAATCGGTTGTTTGCATTCTATGCAAGTGAAACACTCTTCATGCCATGTTGATCCTTTATATTCGTATTTACGTGAACCAGCCTTGAATATCTTTTTGCAACCATCACAACGAGGTGAAAATTTCTCATCATAACATTCTGGACAGTATAAATCATTGTCTTTTGTGGCGAATGGTTTATCAGCTAACGATGCTTGACAAACACTACAGAAGAAACACCTTTCATGCCAATGTTTATCCTTGAATGAAAGATCCTATGAAAATAGGGAATGAAATGAAAGGAAACTGAATTATGACTGATTACTATTATCACATGTTCCATCAATTTCACAAAAAATATTTTTAAGAACTTTATGAAGTTGAAATACATTTTATAAACAGGTAGATTCCATCAAAACTGTTTAGATTTTTAAGGAGGAAAAAAGATCCCTTCGCTGAACTTCGTGTTTTTAATTTTTAATGTTTAAATGGGAATTATCTGTCAATTTTAGTGAATTTACAAGTGAAGTAAGACTATGAACATGAAAGGATTATAACAATCTTTTTCCTCTTTTTTGAATTTCTTGGACTTAAAATTCTGGTTGCATTCTAATACTTTATACATGACAGATTTCATGTTAGTATTTAATTACCTACTCGGTATTTATTGGATTTGTAAATCTCATCAGTAGTTTAACAACGAGTGACTCAGCCATAGTAACAAATAATAGAAATAACGTGTCTATCTGACTTAAGACTAGTTACTATTGAGAGCCCGAAACCTCATACAGGATTTAGATTCAGATTATTCGTTTACTGAGAGGGCACAATAATTTTAAACTGTTGAGTTCAGATCTAACAGTTTACGTATCAAACTTCCATCAGTTTACGATATAAGTAGAAAATCATTCGATGTCATCAGTGAGCTACTCTCTCATTTTTTTTCCTAGATGTTCCCACAGCTCTCAGGTCTTCATTAGATGTCCCAGAAATCCATCTCAAAGTATGTCATTAATGAACAGACGATTATCATTTAGACAGGCGGTTTGTGAGTTGATACATTTTGGGAGTTCTGTTTCCCGCTTCAATAATTCTTCACAACAAGCAATCTAAACATGATATGTTCGTTTATTTTCTACAACTTTGCTCAAAATAATTTCAATTCCGTAAAAAAATACATCGCTAAAATTTGGAGCAGCCACTTATGAAAAAATCCACTGTAACTAGTAGTTCCTATCGAATAACCAACTCAGTGTAAATCAAAGCAATTAGTGATAAAACCAATAGAATTTGAAAGATAGTTCGGAGGTTGAAACAAAATAAACAGAAGTGTTATTCATTAAAAAAATTTGGTTTATGGACTATCTAAAATACGTCTGTAGAATCTAAAATCTATACTTCGGTTTACACATTCTAGCAGAGGAAATTTATTTATCCAATTTATTGGACTTCTGAGATGGGACAAATGAAAAAAAATTGAATTGAGAAAAACAAATGGCGAATAGTGAAAACAAACGAAGTACTTTCTTATAATATTACCGGTATAGATGGTGGCATGCATTATCGATATGAATAATCAGTTCCTTATCTGATGATAAACCTTTAATCAGATAATAACAGATAAGCGAGGTCAGTTATGAGGATATTTTACGCACCTAGTTTAAGATGAACATGTTCTGTTAGACCAGTGATGTCTAATCAAAGTAAGGGTAATTTACTTGTGTTCCCCTCTTCGATGTTCATCTACAGATTCAGCTTCTTCTACAGAAATGGCTATATCAACTATACTACCAGACAACTTAACCAACGAACAAGTGAGCATCTACTACCTTGACTTTGAAGGGACCAGATGAAGACAATACATATCTTTATTATGCCACATCTGGTTGATAGTAATTATATGGCAGATAGAAGCAAATCGTTTCTAGTGATCCCTCGAACACCATCGACATTTCCCAATGGGATTCGATCTCATCTTCTATATATACCAGAAGCTATAGGGGTCCGAACATATAACCTTATAGGTATTATTATCAAGGTTTGAATTGATAATTTCAAATAAATTAAGCATTGGGTAAACTGTTACCAATAGAAATATATTTAAAGTATCACAATGAGTAGAGAAATTAAATTTTCTTACTTTTAATGACTCACTGTAAGCCAATTTTTCAATGAATAAATAAATAAACAAATTAAGTTTACCTAATTTTAAATCATAACCTAGTTTATAAAGTTAATTTATATGTTGAAAAGAAATTCGTCACATTCCTGCCCCAGCCTTAGCTGGGAATGACTTAACGATTTTATTGATTTTTTCACATCCTGTATTTGTTTGTCATTTCTCACCTTCCATTTATATTCTTATTACATAATGTTTTGTGATTATTATTTTAAAGTCCATTTACCCAAGTTTGACCTATTTCATAGGTTAATAGAATCTTATTTTATTATTCCTATCGACACTAGTATACCTGTCTTATTACCACCAATTTTTAGTTATGTAATATATTACATTGTGAGCATTGACTTTAAATATTCATGTATATCAGAATAAATCCTGATGAATATCTGAGTGAAAACAATTATGTTTGGTTGTATGTACTATTCTAATCGAATAATCGTTTTCAGTGAAAAAGTTAGATATGAGCCCACATAAACGTAATAACTAAATAATTATGGTGTACTTTGAGTTTCTTTTGAAACTAACTAGCAACAGTGGTTAGCATGTTAATAAGCATTAAGATAGGAACAATGACATAATAGTTTGATGATAAAGGTATAAACAATCCATAAAATAATCTTCAGATGGTTTAGGTTCTAAGAAGATGTCTAAGTGTACCAATCATTATAAAGTTGGTGGATCTACTTGTAATCTTTCTATGACGTGTTTTCGTTGTCTACTGATATGAATATCGTTAATTTTCTACTTCAGAAAAATGTTTTCTTCCAATTTATTACAAATGAGAGAAACATTCCATTTTAAGATGTTATACTTAGTTTCAATTGCCTTTATATCATAGAATTCCTTAAACATATACAGTATTAATATAGAGATTGTGGTTGTGGAGAAGAGATAACAAATCTTAGTTTTCCTATGAAACATTCCATATTTTGTTGTAAATAACAAGGATCGTCATTAGTATATCTTTAGAAAAGTTAAGTTGACATTTACATGAACTGTTCTCAAAATAATAAGCTGTAACAACATTCAAGATTAATCAATAAAAGAATATACGGTAGCCACTATTGCAGATTTTCCAAACTACAAAGAGCCATATCATTAAAATCAGCTAGTGTCATAGTTCCTTGTTGATTTTTGCTGATAAAATATATCGGAAATATTCAGCTACCTCATACTTCTACAATAACAACTAGGTACAAGAAATAGGCCATAATTATCCGTGTCAGCAACAAGCAAACGATTAAGATACTATGTCTTTTTAAAATTTAATATCTTTGGTTAAACATTAGTTTAAATGTATTGTGAAACTATTATTGATAAAAAAGAAAACTCGAAACATATTTGAGTGGACTAAATAATGAAATTTTTCCCATATAACAGCTTTTCGGGGTTTCTGAAAAACTGCCAAGTCATAAATCATTATACATTTTAGACTATATGAGTGCTCGAGGTTATGCTGAAGGAATCAACAATTTTTCGTGAGAATCATACTTTTATCATGAAAAAGTAGAATGGTAATCTTACAAAATTGTTATACATAATGTAATCACCAAATATACTGCTTAAAACTGTTAATCCAATCTTTCCAAGACAGCTTATTACACACTCACTGAATGATATAAAACCAAGAGAGATTGGATCTCGAATTTAGTTAAATTCATCAACAAACTGCATCTAAACTTATGCTTTCTCCCCAAAGTTTCTAACCATTGTGCTTGAGGCCATAGTTTGGCTATTTACAACTGACTTATTCTGACCATTACCGGCTTCCCAAATGTTGTTTTATGAATACTAATTGGTCATTCAATAATTCGTCGTTATTGCACAAGGTTGACATTTTAAATATTTTCTCGTGTGATGAGAAGAAAAGAACAAATATTTATTACGCGACAACAGTAAAATGCAAGTTGGCTTTACCACACCACTTTCACCATCAAATAACTCCACAGTAATGGAATCTAAGTTCGATCACCGGACAGGAGAACCACTACAGATGCATGTGTACGTAGCTAGAATGTGTGAAACATAAGTTATGGATTCACGTGTTCATCTGTTTTAGATATAATCAGAGGTGCAAACCTTAGTTTATGAAATGAAAAAGTTCGAAAATGCTATCTAGAGGTTGCAAGTTATCAGTGAGTTTCCATCTTCGTTGAGTTTTTGGCAAAAGTTTCTTAAATAAGATTTTCCACCAGGTTTACATGTTTTTAAAAATATTTGTTGGCTAGGTTAATGATAGTTTACTTACAATATTATTTTTGTTGGTGAAATAAAATACTTGGATTGACTTCTACCTCAGTAGAACAGTTGTTTGTTTATTAGTAAACTGTTATAACCACACTGGTTCCCATGATGACTCATTAGTTAAGACTGTTACCATTAAAATATAAGTGAATCAACTTTAAACTGACTATTTACCAAGACATCTCCCTAATTTATTCTAATTAGCTGTTTCAGAACATTCAAACAAACCAGTGAAATTTGAATCCAATCATTTGGTGTGGACATTCTTTGTGCCCTATATCCAAGGTCACATGAAAATATTTCATTAATGCCGCCACACTTTCTGATGTTTTGGTTCTTTGACTTAATATTGAAATCATAGCAATTTTTATTTTTTAGTATTTATTAAATTCCTTTATTATACTGTTTCATTGAAGTGGTCTAACGATAAATTCTTAACGTCAGTTTAAACAAAGCAGTTGAAAAATCTTCACATTTTTATAACATTTTAGAAGAAAAATAATAAGATCATTTTAATGGGTACAATGACTCACTTATCAGTAATAATAAGAAAAATCAACTAGGAATAGATTTTCCGTGAATCTTTTTGCCGTAATCCACGGAATTCAGCATAAAGTATAGGTTTATTTCAGCCATATATATATATATATATATATATATATATATATATATATATATATATATATATATATATATTTGATGGGATATTGTAAATAACCTTAAAAGCTTTATTCAATTCAACCTGATGACCTGTGTCAAATTCACCACATGGTTTACGAGTGCGCCTCTCGCACATTGCGGAAGTCATCGCAATCCATGTTCACAAACCCGACCTTTGCATTCATAAGA